ACTTTCTGACCAGCTAATTAACTTCTTTATTTCTGATGTGATTAATTCTGAAATTTCATTAGATTGAAATGTATGTTTGAACCTGAAATGACCTGTGGAATGCGACAGCTTAGTTCTAAGTATCTATAGAGAATTAATTGTCAGAGATGATGAGTAGTTTTTTCTTCCAGTTAGTGTTTTAGCAGTCTGCTTCCACTGTGGATTACATGCAGTGTGAAAATCAAGAGCAGAGGAGTATTAGAAGAGGCTCAGACAGCAGGAGACTCTAAATAGTTCATTGCCAGAGAGCGTGTGTTGTCTTGGAAGCTCTCCAATACTATTGGTTTTATTTCTTTAAAGGCCTGTGTTCTGGAGCCAGGTTTGTGGCACTGACTGAGATCCGTCTTCATGGAATGGTCAGTAAGACTTAAAAGGAAGACTTCACTATTCATTATGCAACAAAGTACAACAATGTCCCAAATACACCCTGTGTCTGGAAATTCTTAGTATCAACTAATTAAGTATATTTACTACTTACTATGCTTCTTAAGTACCTAATAAGATAAATGTATGTATTAGAGGTAATATTATACTTGCTGTTCAGCATATGAACATTGCCTACCTCACACTTACTGAAATAGATATAGCAGTTTGTGATATTCTTCATAAATGCACTTTGCAAATGATCTTCAGATACATTTAAGACTGTTTAAATGTTTGTCACTATACTGCTAATAGTGCTGAAACACAGAATTCAGGGCAATACTTGGACTGTTTCTTTTAGTGACATGTTTTTTTTCCTGTCTCAAATTTTTTTGTGTGTGCCACTATGTGCCAGGGTTTGTAGTGCCTTGTGGAGAACTAGGTCAGAGACTTAACTTGGTTAAAAATAACTCCTCAAAAGAAGGATCTTTGTCAGTTCTCTGTGTTTTTCTTGCTATGCAGTGCTGTGAACAGCTGTTGCATCTGATAAGCTATCTGTTAAGTGAGACTTTTCTGAAGAAAAGTTAAAAATTCTTGATGCATAACTGATCAATATTGCTTTTTCCAGTTGACAATGAGAGACTGTAGGTAGAATACTGTGTCAGGCTGTGGTCTGCAATTAGTGAGACAGATTGAGATAAGTGAAGTGACAGGAATTGATCTATTGAACAGTGGTTGCAGAATAACAAGATTAGAAGGTAACAAATTGTGAGGAAAGAAATGTATTCAATCTAGGGAAAAAAAAGGCACAAAAGAGGTTTTCATAGATTCTTGATATGTGGTGATGATCAGGCTTTTTTCTGGTACAGTAGCAATGATTAGGAAATACTTTTTTCAGCTTCTCTTATACATCCCCAGATTATACTGTAGAGATGTGGTTAATTTTTGTTGTAGCTGAGGTGGATTACATGAATTCAGGAGAGCACCTTTGTAGGACAGCATATTCTAGTACCGGATTTGAGGCTGTATTTCAATACTTTTAATTTGGAAAATGTCCCATCATATCTGTTTAAATTTCCGAAGAGCTTTATAATTCTCATCAATTAATTGCTGCATATGGGATATGACAGAAATAACATTGTTGACATGGTAATGTTTTTAATTTTAAACAGTGAATCAAAATCCCTCTGTAATCATAGCTACATTTTTATTAACCTAAAACTGAATGCAGATTATTCTTAATTTTTAAGTTTTTAAGTAATAAGTAAACCATTAGCTTTTTTTTAATGTGTTGCTTCCTTTTCATTAAAAGATTATTGCCAATATGTACAGTAAAACTCATTCATGTACTAAATACTGGAGCGCAAGTATCCATATCATATTCATATGATCTGGTTTAACTCAAGTTTGTATCGAATATTGTAAAATTAATGTGAAAAATTGTTTTGCACCTCTGGTCCATGGGTTATATGATAATGTTCCTGGTGACTGTTTAAATTAAATATGAGAGAAAACTTTCTTATTGTAAGGGTGATCAAACACTGGAAGAGGTTCCTCAGAGATGTGGAGTCTCGCTCCTTGGATATACTCAAAATCCAACTGGGCATGGTCCTAAGCAACCTGCTGTAGCTGAGCCTGCTTTGAGCAGCAGGAGTGGAATGGATGATCTGCAGAGGACCTTTTCAAGCTCAACTATTCTGTGGTTCTATGTAGGGTTTCTTTGAGTTTATTGATTAAAAGAAGTCTTACACCAACAATACAAAAATGAAAATTCCTGCCAAGTCACAGTAGGACTACTAGAATACCTCAAATTAAGAATGTGTTAATAAAATCAAGACAAAAATGTATATTCTGAATCCCAGTTCTTTTTTCTTGCTTTGTATTGATACGTCTTTTAAAATTTTCAAGTGGATGAACTTGGGCTGATGTCCTAGTTCAGATGAGGCGATACAAAAGGTCCTCTGAGTTTGTCTGCTTCCCTCTCCTGTCAGCATACATGTGTGTTGTAACTTCCAGCCTTCAAAAGTTACCTTGAAGTCTTGCTTCTTACCACCCTTCAGTATGGAACAGTAGGTACTTTAGTAACTCTCTCCAAGCAGATAAAAATATTTTATCTTTACTATGTAGGTGGCACTGCATGTTGCTTCATTTATTGTTTTACCATCGAAGTAATTCCTGCTTAAATGCTGTTGTACTTTGCATGAATAAAGCTTACAGATAATGGGCTTGATTTGCCTTGTAGAAGAACCTGGGGGCAGAGGGACTCTGATATTCTGGAAGACTCTCCCACAGGGAGGTTTTCTGAGTTCTGGAAAGTGTGTTTCACCATGTTTGGTAGAGCTGTGATTGGTTCCACTTCACTTGGAATTTTTAAAGGTTCTCAAGTCTTAGGTTTTTTGGTTCACAAACCTTTCCAAGTTCAAGGACCTCTTATGTGAAACCTGTAAGAGTTGTAGAAGGTATGTGTTTGAAACAGTGCCCTTTGTCAACATAGTGTCCTGTGCACGTCCAATCTGCGCCAACTCCTGATATTGTTGATGATGCTGTTACTTTGCAGTATGATGAATGAGTGTGCAGTTTCCTAATTTGCAGCTACTGCACTGAGGTTTCTTCTTTTGAGTCATGTGGTTCAGTTGCCGCTATGTGAAAATGTAGTTGACTTTCTCAGTTGGAACTTGCCTGCAAGCAGGGCTTCTCTGCCCTTCAGAAATCTCCCTGCTGAAAGCTGGGAAATCTTTCAGGACAGCTTTCTCCAAGCCCCATAACAGTCCATTCCAGTAATTACGAAATGAGTAGATGTGTCAAGAGACTAGATGTGCCAAACGGGAAACTTAGGACTGAGCTCTGGTGGGAAAGGTGAGGAGAGAAATTAGTGCCCATGGATGTAGATGAGGCTGGGATTGCTGACTTCTCTTCATTGATTTTCACAGACAAGGTCTCATGGTCCCTTGTGCCTGGAGATGGAATTGAAGGAGGAGAGAAACTAGTAGTAGTTAAAGAAGATTGATGGCTGTCTTGAGAAATACCAAGTTCATGGGATTAGATAGGATGCTTCTGAGGGTGCTGAGAGAGCTAGCTAATGTCATTGCAAGTCAACTTTCTCTTTGAATAGTTGTGGAGATCAGGGATGGGCCACAATGACTGGAGGAAAACATGCTGCAGCCAGCCTCAGGAAGGGCAGGAAGGTTGATTTGGGGAACTGCAGGCTAGTCAGCTACAGTTTGGTCCCTGAGAAATTGTGGAGCAAGTCTGCTTGCAAGCCATTTCTAGGCATATGAAGGTGACAACAGTAATTAGGATTGGCAAGCATGGATTTACCAAGGGTACTTGTCAACCAGATTTTCTGCTGTGATAGAAAGACTTGAACTGTGGTTAAGGGGAGAAAAGCAGTGATGTCATCTATCTTGACTTCAACAAGGCTTTCACTGTGGTGTCCAAGAGCATCTTTGTGTCTCATTTGGAACATTACAGTCTAAATGAGACTGCTGGGTAGATAAAAAGATAGTCTGGATCATTGAGCTTGGAGAGTCTGATTTGGGACGTGTCGTGCTTATCTTATCAGTGGCCTGGCACAAGCGGGACTGCATGCTCAGCAAGTTTGTAGGCCTTCGATGTGGAAGGGTGTGCAGTCAGTATGTTTGAATATGACTGCTGTCTGGAGGGATCAAAATTTCTCAAAGTTAGTAACAAAAGACAAAACCACCTTTCCATTATATAGAACACCAGGGGAAGAACAGGGAATAAAATAACACCAATTCTTTGTTGTATTTCTTAAATGAAACAGCATCTGTGGCATTATTTGGAGAACCTGAAGTTCTGCGTTCTCTTTCAATGCTGAAATCCATGCATATGTGTGGATACTTCTTTGTGTTCTGAATGAATGCTTTAAAGGTTTGTTTTATGAGTTAAAAGTTGAATGATAGCAAGCCTATGGCAGAAAAGGCTGGAAGGTGTCATTTGCAATTGTCTAGTTTTTTCACTTTTTATAAATTTTAACCTTGTTGAAATTCTTCAGGGAGAAATTTGGGGGCAGACCATTTCTCTAACTTCAGTAACACACTCTTCAGTTTTGTCTGAGAATTATTTGCAAATCTTCATTTTGTGTTTCTGCATGACATCTGACTATAATACTAAAAATGTTGAATGTTATTCCTTTTCTGTTACAGTTACTGAAGGCAAACACAGTAGAGCTGCTAATGGAATAGCTAATCATGACATAGGATATTTATGATGTGCTTTCTTGGTGTTTGGGGGGGGGATGGGGGGTGTTTTTTGTTTCTTAAAGGAGCATGACCCCAGTTACTCTCTCTTACTCTATCTCACATCAACTCTGTAGAACCTCTAAAGTCTAGGTGAAATAAAAGGTGGATAATTGGGGAAAAAATAAAGTTTTAGACTTGGTGCTCTTGTTGGTTGTGAGGAATCACATACTCTGACTGATGTCACATAGTATTTAGAGATTGCATGTGAAGTTATTACTGAAAGTTGGTATATAGAAACTTGGTAAGAGCATTTAATGCAAGGCATGCTGCTCTTTAATGTATGAATCGCCTCTGTAGAGCAGTTTGTGTTTTAAGTTTCTTTGTACAAGTAGCTGTGTTTTGTTTCAGATTATGGAACTCTGCGGTGCAACAAGACTTGGCTATTTTGGAAGAAGTCAATTTTACATTGCTTTGAAACTTGTTGCTGTGGCCCAATCTGGTCTCCCTCTAAGAGTGGAAAGCTTAAATACAGGTAAATCACAGGACTGGGGTGGAGGGGGGTGAATTGAGTTGCTAAGCAGAATTATTGTACTTGGCTCACAGGTTCTTGTAGAGTAACATTGTAAGTTAATGTGGTATGTCTATGCATTTTGCGGAGAGACTATGAGGGAGTGTATTCTGCCTAGGCAATAAATATGAGGTGAAATACCTTACTCTTATTGAATAAGTATGATGATCATTATAGGGTAAATGAACAACTGCTACTGACTATTGTGTAGGTCCAAGTTCATTCTATAGATTACTAATGTGACAACTTGCATGCTATATCCTCTGAATAAAATACTAATAGGACTAATGTGAATTGGAAGGAAAAGAAGAATGCAACATTTGCAGGCTTTTGTAGTTGCGGAGTTTATGAAGCCTTGATTGCAACAAATGACAGGTCATCTTTTCTAAAGTCACATTTGTTCGCACTTGACTTGACAGTTTTCCCCCTTCTTAGCACAAATATGAGGATTAGTGGTTTCAGATTTCTAGTGAAAAACCTGACCTGTAAAATGTTTGAAGTCTGTTATCAACCAAAACACCTGTTATCCTACTCTTCAAAGGTCAGCTGTGGTGTGGGTAGTGAAATAGGAACAGGAGAAAGACTCATTCTAAGCAGATGGTTCAGAACAGCAGAAAGAGCTTTGATATGAAGTTCTACTGTAGCCTTCTGAGTGACTTAAGTGGATCCATGTCGATGTTGCTCTGTGAGATGAAAAGAGACTTAGGAAGATGAAGTAGTGAGTTTCATGCCACCATAGCCCTTTGCAACATAGTATACAGCTCACGGCTTAGATCTTTGGAGCACAGCTTTGCTGTAAGGTGACTTCCCTAGTAGATTTTACATACATAGAATACATGTTACAATATAATTATATGCTAGTAATTAAAAGAAAGCTTGGAATCTTTTTTGTGTCTAAGGGATATAGATTAATCAGAGTAGGTAAGGAGGCTATGTTAATTATCTGATAGGACTGAAGTATTTGACAAAGCTATAAAAAAAAGAAAGGAATCATTGTGTATACTTTTATGGTTATGTTTATTCCAGGCTGGTACAAAGAGTCTATACTGCTTTCATGGGTTTTTTGTAGCTTTTTGAAAAAGTGCATGGTTTCAGCCAATGTTTTGCTAGTATTCAAGTTCCTTTCTGCTCATAAGCCACCCTATGTTTATAAACACATTTATTTAGTTTTCCTGATGAGTGTTCCCAAATCTAAAGCTTCAGCAAGTTGTTAGCAGAATGCCCTAGAATTAGAAAGTTGGAAAAGGAACCTTTGACTTTTAATATCCGATAGAACTGGAATTTGATACAACAATTGTGTGATTTCTCATCAAATGCTTGTGGAAGAAGGCAAAGGCTAAAATGTGTGTATGTAGCTTTTTCTGGGGTTTTTATATGCTTGGTTTTATTTTAATACAAGATACCTTGTTTGGAAGGAGTTTTCCTATTAAAAAAAAAGTTGGAAAAAATTTGAAGGAAACAATTGAAGTGAAGGTACAGATTTAATTCCAAAATATAAAATATGTTGCGGTAAAATTAGCAGCCATTGGAACTTCTGTAATGGAATACATTTCCTTGATTCATTACAATAGTAGAAATACTTGTAATGGTTTCTAGACTTCTAGGAATAAGTTTCTGTGACTGGTTCCAAGCCTACTAAATACAAGAAATACAATTGACAGAACATTTATTTTTACCCTAACTGTTTTTAGCTTTGATTGTCTGTTGCCTTGGTAGCAGTGGTTCCAGTCCTGTCTATGAAGTTCCTGCTCCTACGATGATTCAAGTGTTGTTGTAGCAGCTACTAAATGGCTAAAATACAGAAGGCTGATGACTCATAAAATGATTCTGAGCTTGGGTTCCTTTCCTTTGAAAACTAGTGTTTAGCAGCCTGGCCAGCTTGGTTCTGCCCACAGCTTGTATCCAAGAGGTCTTGAAGAGGAACTGTTAGAGCCATCCCAAACTAAACCATATATTCTTTCTCTCTTCAAAGTAAAACATTTAAAATTAGTTAAAGGTTATGTTGTAGGATATCTACTTCTTAGCTCTGCATTCTATGCATGTTTTAACCAATGATTAAATGTTATTCACTCTTTTATCTTGGTATTTCTCTCACCTTTCATTCTTGTTTCATTTGCTCTTTGGTTCACTGTGTGTCTTTTAAGTAGACAGAAAGCTTGCTTTTATGTAAGTTGCGGAGTGGAGACTAAAGTCAAAATTTGAGTACTAAGTCCATGCAACACAAGTGTCATCCAGTTGATTCTTAGTTAACGAAGTGCTTTTTTTGATTACTCAGATGTGCAGTGTAGTAAAAACACTGGCTTTAGTTATTATACTATAAGCCTCTAAAGCTGTTGCTCCTTTGCTGCCCTGAAAATTTTCCTTCCAGGAAGCTAAAAATTGAGAAATTAATGAGCAGTGTTTATTTCAAAGGAATGTTTATTTTCTAAGTATAGAATACAGTTTCTGGTGGAAGAAAATGTTAAAAAGGATGTGGGCATAAAAAGTACAGAGAATTTCCTAATTTATCACTATCAAGATTTAATTCCATTCATAACAGCTATCACATTTATAATTGAGGTATTTCTGAATGGTAACAAATGTTGTAGTGTTAAAATGAGGGTGTTTTTCTGCTGTTATGGGGAAAAGACAGAGCAAAACTAATTATCTGGTCTTGTTTTTAAAGAATTATTTTGTGTTCCTTCTGAGCCCTCTATATTGTGAAATAGTGCTAGGTATCTCATGCTGAAGTGTTGTGTTGGAGCAACCAATTGCATGGACTTCCCCTGTATCAGCTGGATGTTCTAGTGTCTATATTATTCCCTGTTTTGCAAGCAGACAAATTTTCACTTGTCTGCAATGACTTTTTCACCTTTTGGCTGGCTGTAGCGTACTGTTTAGCTACGTGAGTAACTTTCCTAGTGCAACATGAGGTACAATGCTAATGTGAAACTGGGCATCTAGGAATGAGGAAAGCATCAGGAATTGCTTTAACAGTTTCCATGTGATGGGTAACCACAAATTTAGCAAAGAGGCTGTGTTGCATGCTCCTTCCCTGTGATGAAAGCTGTTTGGCATGTTGAGTTATGCATAGTGACAGAGGTTTAAATCAAGAATTTATGTTCTTACTGAAGTGGTGTTCTTTGATGCTGGCCGGATACATAATGGTGTCTATAGTTGTTGAATACTATGGATTCAGATGACACTCCTAAAGTACAAATCGGTTTAATGTTTATGTAATGAACACAAAATATAAACATAAATGTTTTATGTAATAAACTGTATGTGATTTCACTTCATATTTTAATACACTTGTTAGTACCACTGACTCATTTTTTTCAATAACAAAAGTAATTGATGTAAGCAGTCAACAAGATAAATTAAATTTGAACCATGCTTGTAAATTGTTTTGTGTTGGAAAAATTATTTCCAAGTAAGCTGTACAGCAAATCTGCAATTTATTTTTAATCATAGTGGACTAGTAAGAAAAGTTGTGGTTGGGATTCAGAAAAGTGGTAGAAATCTTGCAGAGAAACATTGAAGACTTATGTAGCATCATTTTTATATTAGACTACTCTGAACCATGGTACATAAAGCTAAGGACCTCCTAGCATTTTGTAGAAACTTTGCTTCACAGTCGTTTGTTACAAAGTGGAATGTTCCCAGTTGTATCCCAGTAAAACAGCTAATTTAGGTTCTATTGTAGAAAGGTGTACACAGATGTGTTTAAACAATAGTTGCCGTTTTTGCAATAAGACTAAATTATATTATCTGTTATAAATATAAACATGACATCAGCTAACTAAAAGATGATGTTGTATATACTGCAGTATTTTAACATTTGTTTTGCTGATGAACCATTCTGTATGAAGACTCTAATTTTATGTATGTGCTAGAAATGGTAGATATATTTTGCAAATCACACTTCAATCATTAAATGTTGTTAAAACTAAGAAAAAACGGGCTAAATCCAGATTACTTGATTGCTACTGCATTTAATGCAGAGTTGTACTGCAAAACTGTTAAGTAGCTCTGTGAAGTCCTCTTCGTATACCAAAACCAGAACTTTGGTAGCAGAATTGTGAAGTATAATGCAGAAAGGGTATTTGCTTTTTCTAGCTGGCAGATGTTAGCTCGACTATAGCAGCAGTCTCAGTCTTTAGGTAATTGAGGCGTGTGTGAAATTTTAACTACAAAATAGAACTGCATTTTTATTTTTAAGTGTCATACTTCTGTATAGTTAATGGCCTACTCTCTTTTTTAACAGTAAAGGACCTCCCTCTTCCCAGATTTGTTGTGTCAAAGAATGAACAAGAATCAAGACACACAGCCTTGTATTCTTCAGATGCTGATAACACAGCTTCATATTCAGGTGTGATTCCTCCTCCACCTGGCAGGATACAAGTCAAAAAAGGCTCTGTGAGCCATGATGCAGTTCAGCAACGTACATCAACTGATCAACAGGTAAACTAACTTAACAGATTAAATGGGACTCTTAACTCTTTGCTGCATAGGTGTCAGTTTGATAGGGCTTCTAAGTTTTGTTGCTTTCAATATAATTTCTTTTTAAAAAAAAAACCACAATTGTTCTGGTGTATATTATACCAGACTACCACATACACTTCTGAAATACTTGCATGTGGGAGACACTTTTTTATGAAGTCTTATAACCTGTGTTTAAAATATTGGTGATAATGGACAAAGAATTGAGACAGAAAAAATATATGCATAAGATATGATAGCAAATATCGAGTTGTAATCATTATGATTAATACCTCATTTGTTAGATAGTCACAATGGCTTCCTGGTCATTGGAACAGTGGTACTGAATGCCATGGAAGACTGGATTTCTATTCCTTCAACATCCTCCAATACCTTTACATCTGAAATACTTGTTTTAGAAAAAAAATTTTAAAGTCTCACAGTTACTTTTCTCTGCCTTACATTTTATTGTTAAGTAGAGGCAATGAGAATCAGAAATAAGACAGAAGTTTTCACATAGCTTTTTATTGTGTTCTAATAGTGAGAAAACTGATATCCTTTTGTTCACTGGTTTTCATCTTCAGCTACAGGATATCTGAATAAATGAAAACTGTAAAGGCTTGTAACTCTGTGCCTCCTCATAATTCCTTGGTTTTTTTATAGTCTTTACACACTCTCTCCATGGGGAAATCTTTTCTGATTGTCTTTACTACAAGCAAGAACACTTGAGTGCAAATACTAAGTTTTACTGGGTGTATGTGTGCCTGTGCATAACTGTTGAATGACCTGTTTTCTTCCCCATGGTATGTTCTTTTCTGGGCTTGTTTTGTAAAGAATCGAGGAACTTACAAACATCCTTTAATCTCTCTGGGAATCAAGGAATCACTTGTAAGCATTTATTAGTCTCTCTGGGAATAACCCAGACTGATCCAATATAAAGAAAAAGCAAATTAGCAGAGGCCATCCATAATCAGTATCTGGCTGCCACTGCCTTTCTCCCAAACTGGAGATGGGGACTGTAATGAAAGGAGGGCTGGCAGTAGATGTGAAGACAGCTTGTCATTGTCTGGTTTTGGTTAGGTGTGTTTGAGAGAGCTCCCAAGCACTTCATAAAGAAATTAAGTCGTTGTTCTTGATCTGATGATGGGATTTTAGTTCGGTTGAAGTAGTGTTTTGTATGCTGCCATCATGGTGTTGAGTTTATTTAGTGAACAGCTGTAATTTGATACAGGAATCTGTACTGGTGTAACTTTAAAGTAACAAAAAAAATCTGGTGTTTGAGGTCTTAAAGTTCTGGATAAAGCAGCCACATGTTCACAAAGGTGTATAAGCATCCAAATTTCATTTCTCTGGCTGTTAGAAGCAGCTTGGTATATCTTTCACAGAAGGCTGTATGGGATCATCAGAGTAAAGAAATTCTGTGTATAAGTCCTTTGAGAGATCTGTCCCAGAAAACAGACTTGGAGCAAATGTAACAGACAACACAGCATTGAGCCCAGCAGTTTTAAGCTGTATTCATGGTCTAGAACATCAGGGAATTATTGTCTGATTTTGTACCCTTTGTAAAACTGCATTTGCTATGGCTAATTCTACATTTCTGACTGTACAATGAATCCATTCAAGCAGCCTTCTTGTCCCAGTCTAATATTTATTGATTCGGACGCCATGTGAGAAACAAACTGAGAATTTGAATCCCCTTAGGCTGAGAAAAGGGCTTGAGCCCAGGTTTCTCACTTAACCACTTAAATACTCTTAATTGGGTTATTTTCCAAAAGACGGATACAGTTTTTAGCCATGTTTTTGTAGAAAATGCTTATCTAGTTGTCTTTACCTGGGGATACCGCTCAGATTTATAAAATCTAGAAAGAGGTTCAGATTGTGAATCCTCATTGTATGCCATCTCTTTCAGTGATGAGAATGAGAAGAGCTGAAGTCTGAGAAGTAAATTCCAACATATCATTTTCCTGTGGATCACTGTTCTTTCTGGAGGAATTTAAATGTCAAAGTCAATCTTGGCTATTTTACTCTTAGAGCTTGTCATGTAGCTCTTAGATACTCCATTAGTGCGTTTGGGTTTTAATTGAATTTTTTTGGTTTTTTTTCCTTAAACTGTTTACTGGCTTTGGTAATGTGCCTGGCACTTCAAAATACATCAATTTCATAAAATAGTCTGTCTGAAATATTATTTATATGAAATAATAAGATATCTTAATCTTCATCTTTGAAAATCATGTTCAAAGGTGCATTCATGTGCAGCTTTCCACATTGGTGAGATTTGTCATGCACAGATTAATATCTAATAATTACAAATAATTTATGTAAAACAATTTAACTTAGAGTATTGTCTACTGAAATGTCCTAGCTGAAACTATTTCTTTATCAATGCATTATTTTGGCAGTACTCAATGAGCTTTACTCAGAGGCAGGGCATTAGGAAATAGTGATAGGTTGTGTTTCCAAAGAGTAGCAATAAATGAGTTCGTCTTTTAAACTAAGCTTGAGCTAAGTTCAGTAACGTCATTTTTCTATCTCTAGCCATTTTTGTGGTGGCATTTTTAGTTTATAGTATCTGAATATTATGTAAGTGTAGCACTGGCTGGAAGTTTCTATCTTTTTAATATTGTTAGTGTTAATAGATGATGACTGAAGTCATGCCCAGCTGTCATGGAAGCTGCAGAACTGATTCTAGGAGTCCAGCCAAATAGTGCGAGATGCCTTTACTCACTAGACAGCATGTTGACTGCACATCCTAGTAGATATAAAAACACTGGGGGAAAATATCTTTTTTTCTGCTGGCATAATTTCTTCTTCCTAAATAACAGAAGCTAAGTAGATTAGAACACTTCTGCTGACAATGTTGTATATATATGAGCACTTTTGTTGACATACATATGTTAACCACAGTGTATATACCTATCTCTATGCCTTGCTAGTAGCAGCTATGCTGTTTAAAATGTTAATTTAGGCCAATCTTGATAATCTAGATTCTCTTGAGTTCTTCAGTTCTTTCTTTTTGAAAAGAAATCCTCCTAATAGAATTAGGAGCTGTCATTGTAGATAGAAGCTTTTTTTTATTTCTTTTTTTTTTTTTTAAGGAAAAAGATGACATACTGAAAGCAGTTTCTTAAAAGAAGCAGCAACATTGAGATTAGGAAGTATTTTCTGTCTTCTGAAAGTTGCTTACAAGTGATTAAATGTTCTCAATATCAATCAGTTATTGCCTTTGAATGTTTTGCGTTTTGCTGTTAAAGACAAAAAGCAAATACTTTTTCTAGTGACTTTAAGTGTGATCCAGATATTGATGAGGTACTGCTTTAGGATACTTCCACCTGACTTGCCACCTTTTCCAAGAAAGGGGGGTAGCTAGTTGAGGCTCTAACAGCTGAAAAACATGTATGTGGCAAATGCTCATAGGCTGAACCTTGCTATATTGGGTGAAAATAACAGGTAGTCATCTCCCTGTGTGCATTAAGCATAATACTGGCACTCTAGATTATATAGATTTATTGCTATATCAGTGCAGCATGAGGAGGGGACAGCTCAAATTTGGCACCTGTAGCAGTCAAAATGTGATAATCTCAACTTTTTTTAACTGTATGAGGAGTTGTATGACTTTCTTTTAAGGTTTTGACGGTAGTCTATTTCTGTTTGCTTTTGTTTTGTAGGTTGAACAGGTAATTCTAGGTAAAATATACCTGGTATTAATGAAATTGTTTAGGAGCACAGAGCTGGAAAAGACCTCTTGTGTCATGGAGTCTTAACACTATTATCATGAGAAACTGTATTAGATAATGAGTTTTTAAAATAATCAGGGTTCTCCCTTGAAACTGCAACCTTTTATCCACACTGGCCATGTTGAGGAAAACTATTCCAGAGCCTTGGTAGGGATATAATGGAACATTTGTGGGAATATGGTGGGCATTTCCACCTAACTTTACTCAGATCAGGTAATACCTGTTCTTTTAACAGCTTGGTCCTTAGTATTTGCAGCAGAACACACCAGTACGTACTTAGAAAACCATTGTATTCCCCTCTAGTTTTCTTTTGCTTGACAAAAGAATTCATAGTCTCAGTTTTGTCTCATAAAGTAGTTATAGTAATCCTTATAATCTTTCTCTGTCATTGATCCCATTTGAATTTGCTCTTAGTGAAAATATTTCACTAAATTTGTATTTCTTGTTCCAAACAAGATCTCAACTGTATTAATATTATTTTGTAGGGTCCTTCCCTGCTTCTGCTTGATATATCTCACTTTATATACCTAAGCACCTGTGAATAAAGCAAATCTGTCATATTTGAGATATTGTAGTGGTCTAATAGTTGACCTGTGCATCCAGTCGTCTTTTTTTGATTCTCATTATGCACTTTGGTGTTCATTTCCACTATGCAAAAAACTGTATTTTCTATTTTAAAACTTGATAGTTTACTATTACTTATGTCCTGAAAGGAATCCTTCTGTCTGATGCCTCCTTACATTTGTTGTCAGAATTCATCAGCATGCTATTTAGTGTGCATAAACAGTTACCTAAGTATTAAATTAGGTCAATCCCCAAATCGGTCACTCAGGAGCATAATTAGAAACTTCCCTTCAATACCATAGTTCTCATTCTAATACAGTCCAGCCTTGCTCCTTCTGTAGCCAGTTTTTTTGCACCTTAGATTCTTGTATTAATCTCCACATTGTTGGAATTATCTTGTATGGCACCACACTGAATTATGCTGAGGTTCAGGTTAAATGTAGTGCAGTTCCTTCCTAGAAAATCACAAAAATAGTATCAGCCAACTTAAGTGAAATTTCCCATGGTGTGATTGATCCCTTTTCCATTTGTTTCTTATGTTTTTAATTATTTTATTCAAAACCTAGTCTAAAATCTTTCAAACTGTTGAGGTTGGACTAAGAAGAGTGTGTAATTGGCTGAACCACACCTCCCCTGTCTATAAATGTGTAGTGCTACTTGTGGAGAAGTTCACATTGAACCTTGGACTATTTTGTTCTTCGGTATGAGTGGTAGTTGATTACAAAAACATGGATTCTGCAATGCAATTACCATCTGTAGCATAATCTTTCTTCATGATGGATCTGTTCCCTGACTCTTATACAGGCTGTGTGGTATCAGGACCTTGATCACAACACCCTTAGAGCTACCCTTCGGATACCATGTCTGGCTTCATTGTCTCTGGAATTCTCCTTAGGAGGCTTTCTTCTGGCCTGAGGTGTGAGATCCAGGAAAAGGTTTATAATCTCATTTGACTCATGTATGCTTGCAATGCCCTTTTGAGGTTGAGATCCCACCAGAGTTGCTTTAGGGCAGTGTTGTGTTGCCTTACACCAGTTTGTTTGACTTATGTTCACTAAGGTTCTTCTCTTAAAGCCATATCGCCTATTTTAATAAACATGCTATTTATAATAACTGCTGTCAGTCAAAAAAAGTCCAGGTTCTGAGTCCTTCATAGTGTCTTGTTTCTGTAATTCCAGTTTGAAAGAAATCATTACAACTTCTTTAAATGTAATTTTTTTAAATTAAGATGGATTACTTAATTTTTGCCTGTTAGCTATAACCTTATTTTTTGATTAGTTAATTGAGAATAATGTTCTCAGCAGTTTGATTTAACATGATAATGTTAAATAGTTATTAACTATTTATGTCAATATGCTTTTATTTAGATCTGTTTTTTGGAATAATTTAAAGAGGAGAATAAATATCTTAAGATAATTAAAACCAGAAAATTGTAATTGCTGTGACTTCTATTGAGGTTTGTTTGGAGAAAAATTAAAAGCTAGTGTTTTAAATGTTTAAATGTAATTGCAGTGCTACAACAGCTTATCAAAATAAGATTTTAATAAGACCTGATCTAATAAATGACAATTTTATTCACCCATTGCAAACTGTAGCTGGTATATCAAAGTTCCCAAAGAGATTAGGTAGGTAACTTCTGTTAAAGTTGGTGAAAACAAAAATCGCGGAGTTACCAGTAACCCAAATTAGGCAAACTATTGCAGTTGCTACATGTTAGGATTGAAGAGCATTTAAGTTCTGTACCCTAATACACTCAGAAAAATCTGATCCTGGATACTTTAGGCTTTCAAAATCAGTTTATTTTATTAATAGATTGGACAGATGAAAGTGAACAATTCTGCTTCTGCAGCTGCAACATACGTTCTCAAAACACTCTCGGTTTATGAGTGTATGTTGCAGTTCAGGAACGGAGGTGGTTTTAGTGAACATGTTGTCTCTGTTTACTAAAATGTGAAGCTCAGTGCAAAATTAAAGTGGAAATTTTGTACAACAAGCCATGGTTTTTAGGCATGAGTATATGAAAATGATAGCTTCTGGCCCACTGGAAAGGCAGATACATAGTTGATGTTAACCTCTATATAAGGGGCGAATGAACCTGTATGTAATCAGTTTCAATATATCCCTACTCATGTTTTTCCCATGACTGCTTTTGAATTCAAGTCAATGTTTCTACAGTCCTGCCTCCTCCCCAGTCATTTCTGGCTTGCATCTTCCTTCTTTACACTTGTGTTGAGCCATCAGTATTTTTGCCTATGCCATTTTATATACATACACACACAGAGACATGTAAGCTGGATCAATGAATGCCATGAGTGGTATATGAGAGTGACTGGGATTGTACAGCGGAAAGATAGTGCCAGAGTAATGCCATCTAAATTTGGTTTAAACTGTTTTGGGAATGTGTGTCTTGTAATGATAGTAAAGCTGAAGATGTGGCTTGTCCCTTCCGGAAGCTTTTTGACATCAGAATTGGTGACAAGCTTTTGCTGTTTAATAATTTCAGAGTCTTTAAGCTGAAGCTCCAAATCAATTGTGAGAAATCTGTAAATGTTCAGAATTCTGATCTAAAGTTGACTGGAACATTGAGAACAAAGTTAATTATTTATTGTGCTTGTACTTCTGATGATCTGATTACCATTATTATGTGCTTTACAGGATCACGTGAACCACATGTAAAGTAAACATTTAAAAGAATTGAAGTTGAGGATCATATTTACAATTTCCTCCTATGCCTTGAGCATAAGGCTAAATGTTAGATGGAGGCTTACTGAATAATGACAGTTGTCAGCTTCATTAGGGCAAGGCTGCTTCATGAGAACATTAAAACTAAGAGTTTTAATATTCATGTGCAGTTACTAGAGGTAGTGAGTGGTTTCCTTTAGGTAGACTATCATACATTTGTCTGCCTCAGGTTTTCTTCTGTGTCTTTCTGGAGCTCATGACTTATCAGAATAAGAGTACTGGAGTAAATGAATAGTGTCTGTGATGAAGCATAGCTTTCCCTAGGCTTACTCATGGTATTTTGTCTAAAAATTCAAGTATCCTTCAAATCTTTTTTGATAAAAGATGGCTTGTATAAAAGCCAACTGAAGAGGAAGCTTTTCATTGATTTCAGTATGCATCATCGTGGTTCTCCTAGCACCTGTTGCACTATGCTAAGCAGACTAACCATTCAACCTCAGCTCTAGCTTCCAGCCTGCAAGTGGCACTCTGGATACCCTCACTCCTTCCCCTCTTGCCCCCATGTACCTGTAAGGTTAAGAATGTATTGTCAACTAAAATAAATTCCTTGTCAAGTAAGATGCTAAGAGGAGGAATCTTCAGGGAAATTTCAGGAACGCATGTAACTGCAACAAAAAATTTTCAACTGGTGGAGGTACAGGGGAAAAACGGTGACTTTGAGCAGCAATCAGCTAGTCCCTGAATTAAAAGTTGAAGTGAATTAGTACTGTTCCCAGCTGCTTTGTAGTACTCTTTGCCAATACACATGGGCATCATTTAAATGCTTTGAATGGAAAGTTCAAAATCTTGCAGCCTAGGAACTTCTGTAAAGAAACATGACTCAATGATCAGAACTTTCAGAAAATACCTCAGTTGCAGAATCAACCAGGCTGGCCCAGGAAATAGGAAAATCAGAGCCCGGGGGTGTGTGTGGGGAGGGGAAGTGGAAGTGTATATGAGCATGTTAGAAAGTAACCAGTCATCATGGTCCTAAAATTTTTTTGTTAGGATGCATGTAGTTTTAGTATGTACCTTGCATGGAGAAAAGCTTGTTCATGGCACTTTCTCATTGACTTTTAGACTTTTGCAGATGTAATATTGATTAGAAAGCATAATGACCTTTGAATATTCAGCATAGTAAACCAATACTGTTTTGGGAATCATGTGGATGCCTACAGTCAGTCTGGCTGTTGGTACTTTGATAGTATGTTAACAGTTGTTAACATAGAGTACCAAACTTCTTTTTTGTTTACTACTGAAACGTTTTGAGGTTTTTTGCTTTGTTTTTACTTTTCAGGAGACTCGGAGTTTAAGCTTTGCTTTCGTGTTGTACTTGTTTTCACTAATACAGTTTAGTTCGCATTGGGATATCTGGCAAACAGGAATTTCAAAAGATCTAGATATATAGTAGAAAGTAATTTCCTCCCTATAAGTACTTTGTACAGTATAAGTTTTTTTTTTTCCTTTGTATTTTGTTTGAAATTGAATAATCTGGTAATCTGAATGTCTCATGAGAACTGATTCCAGGTAGAAGTTGCATGTGTGATTCTCTTGTTTTCCTACCTGTTCAAGGAAAATATAGTACACTATGGGATTCAAGAGAAGCTTGAGCCCTAACATCAAGGCAGAACTACCTTGTAATTTATACAGTAGAGAACTATGTTCTAGATGGCGTCATTCTTTGAAAAAATTACATCTATGTTTTTACATACTAAAAAAATGTGGCCTGTCTAGTGATTTTATTTTTCAGTGTTTAGCTCTGGTTTGTTTTTTAAAAGAAAGTAACTGATTGTGAATCGGTGAAAATTAGGTGTGATGATAAGTTGTACAGTAAGTAATCTTTTCTTTTGAGACCTGGGTTCAAATGTAACTTTTATCACAAGTGAAAGTGAGTCTTACAATCTAAGCATCCTTTGTATCTCAGTCATTTAACTTGGCACTGCTGTTGTCTTAAGAATGCCAAGTTAAAAATATATTAGATTAAATTGTTTGCAGTGAATGTGTCCAGTTCCAGTCATACTGTACTTGACTTCTCCTAATAAGTGCTTAAATTTTCACTCTCTAAAATGAGACTTTAACTGCAGTGATGGTTGTTCCTAGAAATGATGGATTTAGATAGGCTTCTATGTATTTAGTTGTTAGTAAAAAAACTTAAAAGGTTCCTTTGTTTTATTAGGAGTCCACATCTCCAGTTGTTTCACCACAGCAATCCCCACCAACCTCTCCACATACATGGAGGAAGCACAACCGCCATCCCAGCGGAGGGAATAATGAACGACCTCTTGCTGGACCTGGGCCTTTTTGGGCTCCATTTAGTGAAGCACAACCAGGTATAAATGTCTTCTGTTACGCTTCAGCTGTAACCCAAAGTTGTAGAATTCTTAAATAAGTGTATTAAATGAGTTTAGGACAGTTTATCTTTGTATTTTCTGATCATGGAAACTTTCTTGCAGATTCAAATGTTCATGAGTATGGCAGTACTGTGGAATCTGTGGTCTTGCATATGGCGGATCCATTTCTTAGTGTGGTATGGGAAATGCTTAGAGTTTGAAGGGAGGGGACGAGAGTATGAAAGTTTCCCAGTGGAAAGTTTTTTTCTAATACAAAACTGACATCCTATTGAAATTGTGCAGGAACTGTCAGTATACCCAAAAGCATGGGGAGTTCAAGGGGAAGCAGCAGATACTGTATTGGTTGTTTGAATTATGTTTCTGGTAGATTAGACTAGTTGTCAGAAAAGCTAATACTCTTAACTTTTTTTTTTGCTTTCTTTAAAGTTTATGTAAACATAACTGAAGCTACTGTATGTCCAGACTGTCAAGGTAGAACCACTTGCTTCAGTACAGTTTTTCATCTTTTATTGTTCTTCATGTAACATGAAGACCCTTCCTGTTGTTGTATCGCTGTGCTCAGATTTAAAAAGCTTTCCCCCTTAATATCGCATATTTCAAAAAGTTCTGTTTTCTGATATCTGATAGACTTAATAAATTTGGGAACAGTAGAGCAATTCTAATTCAGATTCTGGTTTTGATGATACTGCTAAATAATATGTTGTATTTTGTAGGCTGTACTTTTAGATTGAACTGGTTGGTTTATTTTGGTTGTGATATTGCAAAATTGATCTGTTACCTTTCAATTTATCCTCATTCTGTAGTTACAAGCATCTGTGGAGGACGAGAGATTCTGTTGTTAGAATTGGTTGGATAAGGAAATAAAACTTAATTTACAAGTGAAATGGGTGGTATGCAGAACTTCATGCCAGTGTCCTGAATGTTATTTGCTAGTAAATGCCAGTCAATTTAGAATGAAGTAAAGATTTTTAGTCTGCTCGTTGTATATGTAATCACTTCTAAGTGTTCAGTGCAGGCATTGTGATTTCTTGACTTCTTTTCTTACACAGTTCAGTTGATTTGCTTTTCTTGCAAGCTGAAATACAAGTTTGTCTGGTAGCTGATTTCTAACTTATAAAGTCAAGGACTCCAGGAAAGTATGCAAACTATTCCTACTGGTGAAGAGCTTAATATTGTCCTCTTAAAAATAAAATTGTAATACCATGTTAACATTTCAGTTTGGCAATGCTTTCCCTGTGATGTCTAATGGATAAATTTTTCAGTAGTAGTTTGAAAATATTTCTGCACTAGCTCAATACTCATCAGTTATATTCCATACTGAAACACATTCATAATGTGTTTAAAGTAATTTGGAGATTCTGTTATAGAAAGATTGTCTGTTCTGCCAATGCTGAGGATAGAGTGGGTTTTCATATATTTAACAAATTGTCATCCTGATTCACTGTGGGTGATTCTTTTGCACTGCAGATGTTAATTATGCCTTTGAATTTCAGCTGTTACAGACAGTTTGTCATTCTTTTTTCCCTCTCTTGAGGCTACTTTTTAAGGACAGTATTTTGTAGAAAAATGGTTTTCTGCTGACATTTAGGTAGAACCAGATAGACTATTGGTTACTTTTTAAAAAACCAGTGCTACAAGCTCATCTTGATTCTGATGCAAGATGTTCTTGAGAAATTAGGTAATTTGCAAATACATGGTATTATTTCAGTAGGATTTAAGGCAAGGCTATGCCATTTCACTTGTGATCCAAGAAAAATAAGAACCCAGGTCTGTCTACTTGTATTTCACATTCTGTGAAACATTGTTTGAGGGTAATGGGGTTGTCAACTGAAAGCATGGAACCTCAACTGTGAAAATGTTTCTGATGGCTCTAATAAGTAGCATGTTGCCTTAAACCAAAAGGACAAAAATAAAAACATGATTTTTTTTGTTTGGGAAAAGATGTGTTTAAACAGGAAGAGTCTGGCTTATGCATAGTAAAGACACTCCAGTACATCACCACACTCTCACCATGAACAAAATTAAATAGTGCTTTCTGTATCGACTTGGGCTGTAGTGTAATTATTATTTAATGACTCAGTTGTTGTTTTTAAAAACATTAAACCTTGTCTTGTATCAGCAGTCTTAAGCATAACTTATAACTCTAGTTCTCAATTTCTTGAGGAAGAAGACCTGTTCTTATTTCAACAGCGCAAAAGAATTTGGATTTCAAAATTTTTTTTTGCCACTGTGTTGTCCGGTAATTCTGTTAGGATAGTGTTAGTGATGCTTCATAAGTAGGTGGACTCTGAGGCACTGTCATGACTAACTCAGTGTGCTTATACATAAGTGACCTGAAATCAGAAGCCAAGGCTTGTTACCATCTTTCTTCAAGTCTTTTTGTAAAAAGAGTCCCAAAGGGTGCATGTATTTTTACCTTAATATCAGGAGTTAAAAGTTGCGGTGACATATGTTGATCACCTGTGTAGAATGAAGTTCAGGTCTCATCCTTAAATGTCTGAGTCAATTCTATTAAAACCTAGTCTCTCAAGTTGTCCAGGTGCCTTTGATTTAACAGTTTAAGATAAAGCTGTTAAAAAATCATGTTGTTATGTCTCAGTTCTGGCTTGCATCTCTGATCTCTTTAACATTTCTTCTAGATTAGTCTTCAGTGGATGACTGAACCCTTTGTAGGAAACAAAATTTTATATGAGATGAGAGCCTCTTATTCCTGTAGTTACAAGAAAAAAAATACTTCATACTTCTACCTTTCAGCTCATTTTGCAGTACAGCTTCAGCTGCTAGAAGGATTTTGACTGTGACAAACTGGGGAGAAAGAACCCCTTTCCCACTTCAAATGATAGTTGAGTGGCATGTCAGAATAGGGGCTAGAAACTATTTTTTATTACCTTGTAGTCTGTTTGTACGGGAAGCAAAGCAGAGGGTTTCTGTTGGTAGTATCCAAATAATGATTTCAAACCAGTAAAAAAAAACCTTGAGGTTTTCTGTTCAGTCATAGGACCTCTGTTAGCTTTCCTTGGCATTACATCAAAGTTCTGATTTGATGTCTGAACATGTATGAGAACTTGCAGCCCTAAGCCATGCTTCTTTCTTTTTCTCATTGGGAGAGATTTTGCTGCATTTCATGAAATCAAGGACCAGAAAACTTCATGAATAGAAGTGGAACATTTTTACTGTGCGAACAGTTCACTTCCATCTTTAGAGTCCTGAGATATTTACTGTCCTTGCAGGGAATTGAGTAGTCCTTTGTCTCCTACTTACTGCTTCAATAATTAATTATTGATAATTAGCCTTGTTACAAATCAAAGATTATTCTTACCTGGACATGATTATTCAGGGAGGGAAGATTGCCAAAATTGTACTCACCTTCTGGTTTTCTTTCACCACAAATTGGTGGTAAGGAGAGCTCTTGTTAGTTTACAGTTAGTTGAAAATTTAGTTCTCTGTAAGTAAACCCCACATTTTTATGATTATTGAAAAGTACAAGCTACTGTGATGTTATCTCAATAGACCATTTCTTATATTTGTAGCTTAAAGTGAGGGGGTAAGTTTTCTTCCACAGGGAATGAGATCATTTTCCAGAAGTTATCAATGTGTTGGTAAGCTAGTCAAGCTAGAGGAGAAGGATATAGAGCAGCCACAGGAATTCAAGTTAGGTCTTCATTCTAAACATAGTGCATTAGACTTCAGCCAGTTAAAATCTGATAGCTATTCTTAGGCCTGCTCTCCATTCAGAGTGCTGTTAATGGTGTTCTCACTGATGAAAATGCACATAGACCGTTGAAGGTTGTTTCTTTACAGTTTGAAATCGTAAAAAAATAAAAATACACTGATTTTTTTTCTGAGTCTTTTCTCTGACCCAGTTTCTTCCACCTTCCCTTCTACCTCAGTGTTCCTCATCTCATTTTGTAGTTTGAGAAGAAAGCGAGGGGAGACTATCTCTAATTAAAATGTCAGATAGATGTAGTTTTAATGATTGAGAATTGAGTTATTGGCTGGTGGCAGCCCGTGAGTATGTGTGTAGATCCAGATGTCCACAGTTACTAGTAAAGTAATCTTTTTCCTGTGTTCTCCAGCCTTCTCATCCTGTGTCCTAAAATGTTGCAACGCACAGTGAATAACAGGGACAGTAAAGCAAGACTAATCTTGTTGGGGTGACTGGAACAGGGGAGAAAGGAAACAGTTCTTGTAATGCTTGTAAAGTACTCGGAAGGTATGACAACTTGGTGCTACTGGCATCTCCAACGCTGTAAATTACTGCTTTGGAAGAGGTGCTGTGCTAAGCGGGGTACAAATTGAACTGTGCTAAGACAAACTGTTGGGATAAGGCAGAGTAAATGTATATAAGGTTAGTGGTAATAATGTCAGTGTCTGAGGGGCAGAGAAGGGGAGAGCCATCAAAAGTAAAATTTGTGTGGCATATCCCTAGGAGGGACGGGGAGAGCTTGTCTGCATCTTACAGTCTGTTAGCCCTGTGCTGAGAGACACCAGGTGGAGAGAGACTGAGCTTTTCTGCACTTTTCATTCTAGTGTTTTATAGTTAGGCCAGCTGCTGAAGAAGAACTCCAAGGCAGAACGCTTTGTCAAACTTATTGCCTTTATCCTCAGCAATTTTGGATAAAGTCACCAGAAGCTCCAGGCCACATCAGGAGCTCCCAGAAGTGGAGGACAAATTTGGGAACAAAAGGAGTAGTTAATAGTGGCTTTTTATCCTAGTAAAGTTAACTTCAACCCACCCCCAAAAAACCACAAAACCAACACCAAACACCCTCCCTTTGTATTATTCTCATATTTTTATGAAAATCAGAAATAATGTAACCTATAAATTTTGTGTATTTAACTTATCTCCTCTTTCAAAAATCTTTGTCCCTCTGGAAATCTCAATTTTTACTCTCTGTAATACAAGATTAAATGTGCTGTGCACAATTATGGCTATTGTACATAGGAGAAGAACAAAGATAAACCAGTTCTAAGCATTTACCTCATTATTTTCTCCTAGGAAAAAGGTAATTTATGAAATGAAAAAGTATTTGTGTGCTGCCAGATATTAAATAGCAATTTTGTATACTGACAATGTTACTGTCACTTCAGATGTTAGCCCTCAGCATGCCTCACTGGTTCTCAGATTTCATTCACTCTGTTTACTGCAGATGGTGTACTAGTAATTTCATCAGTCTGAAGAACCTGAAATTGTTGATATTTGTCAGCTTCATAAATAGATTACCTATAGATAAATGGACTTCTCATAGCAATATTTTTAGTCAGCATCTTGACAATAAATTATTGGGGTTTATTGTGTCAATTTAGATCTTAGCGTCTAAGGATTAAAATTATGACAATGTCATATTTCTTGTTTGTGTGTTGTGTGGAGGGCTTACAGATAAAGGGAATCTGCTTCTGCAGATGAGGCAGAAATTCCTATCTAAGTATATTTCAAGAGAAAGCATTTAGTTGTGCAAGAGAGTAGATTAAAGTAATCAGTTTCACAACTACTGCTTAGATTTAGGGAATTCGGCATTTCTTTTAGGAGTCAAGGAGTAGAATGGATTCCTAGGATTCTTACAGACTTGTTCTAGATGGATTGTTTTCCTTCTAATCAGAGTTCCTTAAATTTTTAATTTGAACTGCAATTTGAGAGACTTCTGAGGGTTTGTACATAGGGCAGTGGGTGGCCAGATCTTTCTATAGCTGCTTCATCGTTCTATTAAGACATTGAACATCAGCAGTACTTCAGAAGTAAATTATAACAAGGCACTGGGTGAATCTCAATTATTGTGTTCCAGATAGTTAATACATAGCAGATGTCAGCACTCTATATGGATGCCTTTTATTATTCTTGGACTGTTTTTGGGCAGCTGAGTTAAGTTAGTCTAGAAATAATTTAGAAAAAAAAATCTATGTGCCAAGAAGACTGATTCTTAAGAGGAATTTCCAAGGCTTTGTTCTTTGGCAAACTAAAATCTAAAAAAGGAAAAAAAAAAAAAATAGTTGCATGCTAAATCGTATGCCACTGTTAAATAGCTGTTTGTCCATACAAGTGTTGCTCATTTCAATTCAGTGAAAATGTGGAGAATTAACTCATTCAAAACCCATTAAATGGCTAAAACACAATTTACATTTCACACATGTTGCAATAAGCTTGTTCCTCACTTCTGTCTCTTTAGTACAGACTTAAGCTGACCTAATGTAAAAATCTATAGGAGTGAGTTGTCAGGAGGTGAACTTTTACACCTTGATGCAATTTGGTTTTATTTTCTTACACACTTGTAGAATGGTGATCTCCCTAACAGGAGCATGTGTTTCAGGATTTTTTTTTTGACTGCTTTCCATATCCATAGTTCTTACTCAGTTTTCAAAGTTGTCTTTTGAAAAGAAAATGTTTTTTCTACTTTCAGGCTCATCTACTTCTAGTGATCCCATATGGTCTGGCCATTCACCACCACCCCATCAAGAAAATTGGGTCAGTTTTGCAGATACCCCACCAACCAGTGCTCTTTTAGCCATGCATCCTGCTTCTGTCCAGGTGTGACACTTTATTGGTATTTGATTTGCTTCATTCAGATTGATGTTGCAATCCTTTTTTTTCTTTATAATCTTCATTGCAGATGTTTACTGTCTATCTGTGCTGTAGTCTGTTCAGTGCTGTTTACCCAACAGATACTTGTTTCATTGAGTTGACTTCATTTGGAATGATAACTGAAAGCTTCTAATTTAAAAAATGTCAACAATTATGACTTTTGCGTTTAGCTTTTTTGCATATGTGACATACTTTTTTTCCTGCTTACATACCTGCAGTCATTCCTATCCATATGTATCAGTGTGCAAAAATACCCTGTCATTATCCTTAGATGCAATCTGTTGGCAGTTTCCTGCAGTTTTTAAACTACTGCAAGATTTAACTATGCTTTATTTTTTGAAGGCAAGAAGTTGAGAATTCATAGAAGTGTTTTAGGTAGATAATACTGAGGAAAAATATTTCATTTCAGGACCAGACAACAGTACGAACTGTAGCATCAGCTACAACAACAAATGAAATTCGTAGGCAATCAAGTAGTTATGATGACCCCTGGAAAATAACTGATGAACAAAGGCAGTATTATGTTAATCAGTTTAAAACCATTCAACCTGATCTTAATGGATTTATACCAGGTAAGTTACTCTTTAAAAAAAAAAATATAATTGTGGGTGCAGCAGTTCTGTACAAAGACTTTGTTGTTTACTTAGGTTTGCATACCGTTTTGAAGAAAGTTCTGCATTTTACTGATAATGTTCTAGTAAAGTCCAGTTTAATTCAAGAAAGGACTTGAAACCCAATTGCCTTTTTCCTGTGTTTAACCCTAGTAATTAGTGCCATTTTTCCCAAAACCTTTGCTAAATAGCTCATCTCCTGTACCATAACTCTAAGTCTTCTAATGATTTAACTTGCTTTAAAAACTAAAAATGGTTGTTGTAATTTTTCAGGATCTGCAGCTAAAGAATTTTTCACTAAGTCAAAACTACCTATTCTTGAACTTTCTCATATTTGGTAAGTGTGATGTGTCTTTATTTGGGATAATTATTTAGGAAGCTGACAGCTATCTGGCAGTCATCATAACCTAATAGAAGGTGCTATAAAGTGAAACTTCACTTGTAATCTAGTATGTTCAGTCCCACTCACATTCATGCCGATATTATTTTAGTGGGCTTTAATGGGTCTAGGCTGGCACTATTTACAAGGCATTTTGGGCTTTTGAAGAAATTTCAAACACTTCAGAGTAAGAAGTAATTTATTTGAGGTTTTTATTGTTAGATGCATTTAAATCTAAATAATTGATTCCTTGTCTATATTTATTCAAGTCTAAGTTTAAATGAAATCTACATATGAAAATATTTTTTTAATGCACATAGTGGGACTTGATGACAGATTTAGCTTTGACTTGGTACAAAGCTTGTATTTCATTATATTCTAGTATTCATACTGCATCATTGCTTGTTATCATTAAGTGGCTTACCTTGGCAGATTTGATCTTTCTTTCAGTGTAATGATTTCTAATTCAGGTATTTTCCCATTTAAAATAAATCATGTTGCCTCAGCACTATTGCTTCTTTAGTATACTTTGCCAAAAATCTGAGGCAAATAATATTGTGTAGTACTGTTGTAAATGAGTTAAAAACCTGGGGAGATAAAAATGGGTTTAAATTAATGGAATTAATTAATAATCTTTAAGCTCTAAGGACGTTGTTAATGAAGGCTCATCTTCTTTGAAGAATAAAGCAAGTGGAGCTAATATGAAGTGTTTAAGAGGGTAAAATGAACTATAAACTGTATTCTTTGATCTTCCAAGTAGCACAACAGAAGTATGTCTATTGGAAATAAAATAACCTTAAAAAATGTATTTATACTAAGCTTTCATTTTTAGGGAGCTCTCAGATTTTGATAAAGATGGTGCACTAACATTGGATGAGTTCTGTGCTGCGTTTCATCTGGTAGTTGCTAGGAAGAATGGGTATGATTTGCCAGAAAAGTTACCTGAAAGTTTAATGCCCAAACTGATTGATTTGGAAGACCCGACGGGTAAGACATGCTTCAACACAAATTTCACGATTTTCAAATGATGGTGTAGTTAAGGTTACAGTATATCAGCAGACACTAATGGGTTTGTATGAGCATAACACATTAGTCAGTATGAAGTAAAGCAATGTGCAATTTTTAGAAGTCTTAATCATTGCTCAGAGCTAGTCTGAGCACATACATATTTCTGTACAGGGAAATGTTATTTAGGAACAGTACACATATTGACTATTACATTTAGAAATACTGCCTGCGTCCTTTAAAGTTTAAGGAAAACAGGATTGTCACAGTATGGATTTTATTCATGATCATCTATTGTATTCCGAATTCCCAATCCAGTTATACTTCAAACTTGTTTTCAAATGAATATGCTTTCTGTTCAGCCTCATTTCTGAAAATATGGCATGAGTTTCCAAGTCTTGAAGTTACTTAGAAAATATTCCTGGATTCAGTGCAGGATGTTTGAAAGTGCAGATTTTAATTTTTTTCATTCTACTCCTGACTTGTCAGCAGGATTTATTTTCCATTACTTTGGCATCTAGTCTTTATGTGCATAGTGCTTTACCTTTGAATGCTCCCAGATAAACCATTGAATGTATGAGTTCTGCTTGTTAATATGTGCCAAAAACTCAGCCCCATAACTGAAAAGCAAACTACTGTTCCATGTAAAAGTGGTATTTAAAAACAGGATGCTTCTGGCCATCACTTTTTTATTTTATAACAGATAAAAGAAACGGAATATTCCAAAACTGCTTTAGATTACTTTTTAACAAGCAGTCTGTGCTTGGAAAGTCAGGTTATACTGTGGGTTCACAGGTACTATGATTTCCTAGAATTTTTTTTTTACTAAATACTTTAAAGGGGATCTCTTCATACTGTGTTTGTACGATGTCAGAGACTTCCATCTGACAATTATTGACAAGTTCTTAAACTAGATACTGTGGCTCTTACTACCTCTGCTTTAATAATTAAACCATTTTTTGTGGCAGTAGCTTGGATCCTCAAAGAACTATTTCGAACAGCAGTCAGCTGCAAGTGAAGTGTCTTCAGTATGAGTAAGCATTTCACTATGACTAAGACGTTCATAAGAAATGTCTACAATTAATTGTGTGAATACCAAGCAAATGTCTAAAACCTATCTATTCTGTCTATTTTTGTGTTAAGGTGATGGCCAAGCAAAAATCTTGATGGGAAATGGAGTAAAATTTATTGTACAAAACATCATTAGTTTAAAAAAAACCAAACAAACAAAAAAACCCAACCAAAAAAAAAACACACCCAAAAAACCTGCCACCGACAGTTTTATCTGTAACTGATCTTCTGCTGCCTTTATTGGTAAAAGATTTCAAGGCTTTCATTGTTTAACTGAAGTTGTCTGGAAACTTTATAAATTGGACATTAACCAAAAAGTGCTATGTGTGTGTTTATTGTTCTTATTTTATAGGCAACTGTGTTAATATAAAACTTTGTGTCTTATTTTCATGAGGTACAAAATGGTCTTTAAATTTGAGGGAAAACTACTTTTTAAAGTAGTAAAAAAAAAAAAAATTCTTTCTGGTATTAAAGAGAAGTTACCCTGTCTTAGTGAATGTTAAAAGGTTACCATGCTGTGTAAGCTGTTCTTCAATTAAAAAAAAAAGTTCTCATTGATACTTGATTCTGCTGTTACTAATAGCTACAATGAAAAGTGATGGTTCATGTAAACTTGTTGAGTTTTATCCTATTAACTAGATTGGGGGGGCAGTATTAGAAATAGCAAATGCTTTCTAGCACCTAGCATAATTTATCACCAGAACTTTTATGTTGAATAAGAGACTTCAGTTAAGTCAGTAGCCTCCTATAGTTTTACTTGTAGTTACAACAGTCCAAATCTCCAGTATATGTTTACTATCTTCATCTAAATTAAAAGCTACAGGGCTATGTGCAGACTAATGTGCATGTTAAATTACATGGGGTTCAACGTAAGGACTGTAAATCAGCCTAGGAAGATCAACCAGTTAAATTTGTGTAGTAATTTTTTCTTTTTAGTTCCCCTAAAAGCTGTACTTCAATAAAGCTTGCTTCCAGCAGCATTCTCAGAAATAGAAACTGTAAAGTATGGCAGCAGATTGTCTTTTTGAGTGCACTTTTTTCATGGGATACAACTTTCTCAAAGACAGACATTGTTAGGTGTGATCTTCTGCGAACTGAAGCCTCAATGTGAATAACATACTTTCAAACTGTTCAAGAAAGTGAATTACTTGAATGTCTTTTTAAACCAATGTGCAAGATGGTTAATAACGATTTCAAAAGTATTAACAAGATCCTTATTAATTCTGTCCTTCTGTTAAAAACTTTCCCCTTGATCTTCCACGCTTCTGCTCTGCGCTTGAAACTTGCTGTCTCTTTCCATTTTGACTTTTGAACTAGTGACCAGCAGAAAGAAAAGTAACAGAGGATTCCCAGCACCCTCTGTCTCTGTTCAGACAGAGGGAGGGAAGAACTCTTGTGGTTGACCTACTCTGGCAGCTTCTCCCGCATCAGCTGCTGTGAACCTGTTATGTGACCGGCTGCAGGTGTCCCAAACCCATTAACATATTGGTCTTGCCTTATATTTGGTTTCATGAGCAGGGATATGTATTTCTCACATGACATGGACCTATTGTATAATAGAGCATTTATATAGTTGGTCATTTTTCTGGTGTAACATTACGCCCCTACAGAATTTTAATAGGGAAAAAAATGTTGAATGAGGTGCTAATATCTTTCTGCTGACTAGGGAGACAAATGAGGTGGTTTAAGTTCTTAGAATAATGTGGTAATTCTACAACAGATTTGAATGGTTTTAGTGTTTTGAATTGGGTAGTGTACTTCAAAGAATTATTTGGATTGCAGCAGCTCCACTTCAGATTTAACATTGTGCTGTGATATTTGTAGATAGATAATGTCAGTTCTTCAGAATGAGCAAGATCTGTCTGTGTAAGAACAGTCTGTAGAAGAAAAACTGCAGTGAATGAAAATGGGAGCATGAAGTCAGGCAGTTGTACAAATACTTCTCTAAGTGCTTATGCATTTATTTTATTAATTGAATACTGTTGATAGCATCTGTATCTGTCTTGGCAGAATTTATGATCTGCAGCTGAAAAGTGTACTAGTCTCACCTCTTATAAATGTGAGACCACATTCTATGATGTAAATAAATGTGAATATTTGCCTTTAAACTCAATTGTATCTCAGTAAAAGCTACCAACCCTTTACAAAACTCAAAGCAAGTTTTGCTTTTCTGTGAATTTGTTTTTTGTTTGGGCTGTTGCAACAATGCAATTTCTTTGTAAGAAAAAGAATCTACCATGCTTTGTGTCTTACACAACTTGATTACTCTAACACCTGAAGTTTTCCATAGGTGTCTTATGCATGTTTTTTGTAGATACCTGCAAAATTCCTTGAATTATAGGTAGCTGTGTAGCCTATCCACAGCAATTTTCAGCCTTACCTATTGATCTTTTGTATAACACTATTCGTTAGTTCAGTTATCTTGTGTACCCTTATTGACATGAGAATTTTGAGTGATTTTTTAACTCATTAGAAAATTTCTATTCATATTACACTTCAGAACAATTGATATGCAATATGCATTCCCAAAATATTACCACTGACGTATTGTTTTCAATGACCACAGCATGTCACCTTGACTAATTGGTGACATCATTGCACCTGTAAATATCAGCTTGATGTAGCCTATTTTTATTGCCAGATGCTTTTTGCCTGTAACAGGTATTAGATGCATTTTCTTTCTTAAATAATTTGTAAAGCCATTTTCCCTAAACGACAGTAGTACAAGATGCTAAGTGCTGGGCACAATTTTGGGAACATTGAGTCTCAACCTGATAACTGGCTATTTACAGGAAGTACAAGACCTTTGAAATTTTTGAGGTACGGGTTTCTGTGCGTGCCTTTTCTCATGTCAGTAGCACCTCAGCCTCCCCTGGCCTCAAGACGGGACAATTAATTCCTTTCTGGACTTCAATGTTTTGGCTATTCTTCTTAGGCTATGCCTCTTGCTGTCCCCAACAGCACTTTGGAGACAATAATGGATTGTTGTTGGTTTTCAAAGGTGCAGTTGGTCACTGTTGACTATTCAAGAGTTTCCAGTTCAAACTTTTTGTTGCTGCTAGTTTTACACCACCACCCACACATGCCTCCCCCACTCCCGCAAGCTACACGGCTTAGTTTGACACTGGATTTGTTACGAGTTTCTTCTGAATGGAAGACCACAGACAGAATATTGAACTTTTGTAGCAGGAGAGCAGGCTACAGAGTTCAGCTCTTCAGGAGCCTGCAACCAGTCTTTTTTTATGAATTTTAATCAATTTTTGGTATGGCGTATCACACATTCTTGTGGCAGTAGTCTTCAATCACATATCAATCAAGCAGTCCTTTTAAATGATAATTTAATTAAGCCATCTTTCATCTTGAGCAGTATTTTGTCTTGTTAGTTTTAATTCTTTGGACTGCAAACATCTTGTTAATATGTGTAGCTACTTATCAGTCACTCTTTCAACTGTTTGTGTTACATTATATATTTGTAATCTGAACTTCAAGGCATTGCTTTAGCTTGTATTGTAGTATCTAAGCAAAACAAATACTGCAGGATTTTACTGTGTTATGTGGAATGCTTCATCTGTTCAGATTTTTGTTCTCTTCAAACTAGAAGAGAATTGGGTAAAGTAAAAAAAGTGTGCTGCATCATGAAAATTTGTACAACTCTAAAGGAGTGTTTCTGCAAAGGATATTCTTTGGGGAATAATCTAAGGGAATGGTTTTCATCTCTGTTCATATTTTTGGTTTGTGTTTGCATTGATATACTGGTTTTGCTGTAGCCTTTCATTATAAGGAGGTACTCTGTAAGATAAGTTTTTTGGTGCTGGATTTGATGTAATAAACATTATTGTGAAGTTATTTTCTCATCATATAAGAAGGAATTACACTTATTTCTACATGTAATCAAAATCTTAATGTAATTTAAAACCCAGAGTACTGGGAGATAGTATGGTACATAGTCATCTTCAAAGTCCATTTTTTTTATAAATATCCTCAAAATGAGAGTAGCATCAGCTAAATAGCATATTTGACTTGAATGAGTGTTTTTTGTCTGCTGCTTAGTATTTACTTGGAAAAGATGAAACCAAAGGGTACTTTGCAGTTTCCATGAGATGTGAGCAGCTCTTCTGAGAATAAACTGAGTGCAATTCATTATTTTGGTTTATAGTGATTCCTGTCATTTCAGAAGTCGGGGAACAGACTGGTGAGGTAGGTTACTCCAGCTCTCCCGCAGAAGCACCTCCAAGCAAGTCTCCATCAATGCCATCCCTAAACCAGACCTGGCCAGAATTGAATCAGAGCAGTGAGGTTAGCACTTTTATTTAAGAGTTATTTCATTGCCGGTCAATAACTAAATTGTGTATGCATCCATAATTCATAATAAATGGACTGTTGATCACAAATTGTGAAACAGTTCAG